CCTTCAATGGTCGAAATGATTTTGACCATTTTGACCATTTCGGATATCCGAAATGATCCATTTCAACTTCATGTATAGTAATAATACTGAATAGTTATTATAATTATGAATTAACTAAATATTTTTGCTAGAAATATAAATAGAGTCATAACTTTCTATATGTATCTATTTTTCTTCTTTGTTGAGGTTATAATAAATAGTTTTAATTTATATATTTTTAATCAAAAAACATATAGAATACTTATTGCTATAGTTACTGCTTATTTTTGCAGTGATAAAATTTAATTAAAATTTGAAGTATTTTAGCTTGATGGAATTATCAAATAGTATTTAGTAAAACTTGATTTAATCCTAATTATTACTTAGAGTTAATATCTTTTACTTAGTAAAAACTTCTTATATATAATGTTTTATTTATTTGTTATATTATAAAGTTTAATATACATTACTATATCAAATTTATAAATGTATAAAAAAAAAATAAAAATATTATGTTATATATATATATTTTATTGAAATTAATTATTTCTAAATTAATAATTAAGAAATTAAGAATTTATTATCTTTTTAAATTATCGAAAAAAAATTTAATTTATTATTTTCATTCTTTTTATTATTATCTTTTTTTAAGATATAAATTAATAAAAGATAAATTAATAGATATTGTTAGATTTATTTAAATACAAATGCTTTATTTTTATGATATGTTTACAATTTTTTTTTGTAATTTTATCAGCTTTCTCAAATACTTACTTATATTTTTATTTTTTTTTTTTAAAAAAAATTTGGTTAATATAAAAAAATTAAAAAATAAACAAATTCTAATATTTACAAATATATATATATATATAATAAATAATTAAATAATCAAAAAAAAATTTTAATAAAATGTATAATTTAAAAATTAAAATTAATAAATTAAATTAAAAAAAAAAAATAAATATTGAAATTTATTATGTATCATCACTAGTGTTCACCACTAGTGTTACATGTTTTATATGTTTATATTACATGTATTATTTATCATCCTGTATCATATCTTATTGTTTTCATTTTTTATTATATATTCTAGAAACTTAGAATTTTTTCACTGCTAAAAAACATTTATTTTAAATATCACTAGTTATATAAGGTAATATAAAATATCAATTTTTATTGGTTAATTTAATAATAATGTTAACTATAAGTGATGATAAATAGAAACTTCTAAAATATTCTTATAAATTATAATAAAATTAATAAGTTAAATTAAAATAAAAAATTTTCAAAAAAAATATAATAAAATATTCTTATAAATTATATAATAGAAGATTAATTAATAAATTTATAAATTATATTGTAGTTTATAATAAGTTATAAATGAATGGTTAAGATTATATTATATAATATTAAAATCTTAATTAAATATAAATAACTTATTACAACTTTAAATTAAAATTTAGTATTCTTAAAATGTATTTAGAATGTAGCTTTTATTATATATCTATTATATAAATATTTTTTTAAAATAAGTATTATATGATAAATATAGTTAAAGAACAGGTTAAGAGTCTATACCCTTAGAACAGATTAAAATTTCCTATTAAAATTAAAGATAGCTAAATATTGGAAATTAATTGTTTATCAATTGGTTTTTAATCAGTTTTCTAAGTAATGTTTACAAATAACTCATTGTATTACTGCTTATTAAACTAAATATTTCTAAATAAAATAGCATTAAAAATTAGGGTTAGATAGGAGATAATGTTAAAATTAAAATTAAAATTTGTAATTAGTATTAGGCATTAGAAGTTATGGTTAGGATTTAATTAGAGAATTAGGTTAATTTTGAGTTATTTATTAATTTATATTATTATAAGTTAATTTAAAATTCTAATATTATAATTAAATAGCTACTAATTTAACTTTAAAATATTTATATAATAAAATAAAAAATCTTATATTTAATATTTCATTCATATTATATTAGCAAATCTTCAAAGTATTAACTAGGTAGAACTGCTAATCATCCTACTTACATAAAAAAAATTCATAATAAAATACTATAAATTTTTAGTCATTTACCTGGATATTTGTAATTTGTTCAGAATTTTATAAATTGATCAGTTACAAAGCCAAAAAATGATTAAAAAATTAATTAAAATTTAAAAATTTAAAAAAAAAATATAAGTTAATTAGAATTTAAATAAATTTAAAAATTTAAATTTAAAAATTAAAAAAAAAAAAAAATTAAAATAAAATAAATAAACGAATAAAAAATCTAGCAACTAAATAATAAATAAAAAAAATCAGGCCAGTATTAAAAAAATAAAAATAAATAATTAATATTTTTTTATTTATATTTTTAAGTTTAAAAATTTTATTTTTTTTAATTTTCAGATTTTTGAAATTAGAAACCAATAAAATCTTGGTTATTTAAGTCACATTCAATTTTCGACATATCACATACCGCTTTTGAGTTCATTGAAAATAAATTCGTGGGAATGTTATACACGCCGTTCCATATTTATTTAATTAAAATGTTGATAATCTCGACAAAGCCATAAACAAATCTGTACATATGACCCTATCTTAAGACCATTAAAGGCTGTTAATGGGTTATATGACGTTAATTCACAGCATTTCTTTGTGGTCGGAAATTTCTATAATACATTTATAATTGATATCGTAGATAAGGTAGGTATTCACTTTATTTATTAATAAACGTATCTTAAAGTTGTAAGTGCGTAAAAATTTAAAAATAAATTATGTCGGAAGAGGATATTCGAGTTGTTCTCGCCATTGGTATGTTTTTAAACATCATAAAACTTTGATAAAAGTAATTCAATTGATTAATTAAATACTTCTTTTCAACATTATTATTACGAAAGACTTTGGAACGACCTACTCGGTAAGAATTTGGCCAAAAGATTTTAAACGAAGGAATTCGTGAAAAATTGTTGATTTAACAATGTTCTTCAATTAAATAATTAAATAAAGGGATACGCGTGTGCACACGTTGCTAATCCTGATAGTATTATAATCAAAGATAATTGGGATGGCGTCGAAGGTCGCTTTAAAATACCGACCGTTATAAAATATAAAGATGATTTCTATGATTCTATCGAATCGTGGGGCTATAGTGCATTAGCTCGTAAAATATCAAAAATAGAAAAATTAAAATCCGAAAAATCAAAGGGAAAAGAAAACGAAAAGCCTATATCTTCAAAACCTGTTGAACGGTTTAAATTACATTTGTCAGAATCTTTGAAAGAAAAACCTTTTTTACCTGATAATTTGAATTATAAAAAAGTCATCACAGATTATCTGAACAAATTCTGCGAATCAATTAAAGAAACTTTACATATTACTTGGCCAGGAGTGGACTTGCACAGTAATGTATCGATTGTCCTTACGGTAAAGATTACCTTTGTATTATTCAGCATTTAAAGGCAACAAAATGGGGGAATCTAAACCAATTTATTATTTATTATAAAATAAAAGGTTCCGGCGGAATTTGTTGATAATGAAATTACAATAATGCGCGAATGTGCCTTTAATGCTGGTTTGCTGAAGGAGAAATATAGTAATAATCTCCGATTTACAACGGAACGTATGTACAACTTATTGCTGCAATTCTCCTAAAAATAAATTTGATTGAGTTAATTATTTTTTATTAATAGCCGAAGCCGCAGCTATCCATTGTTTGAATTCAATAGTAAAAGAACAACATAATTTAAATCCAGGAGGTTAGTGAAGTTTATAAGTATTAACAAAACATATACTTTCTATAATTGTAATTTGTTTGTACGTTATAGATTCATTTATGATTGTTGACTGCGGTGGTGGCACAGTAGACATAACAACACTTGAACTATTGGAAAACAACAAACTTAGCGAAAGAACGATTCGTGGAGGAGATTATTGCGGATCAACTTTCGTAGACCAGAAATTCCTAGAGTTTATTGGTAAAATGACAGGACCATTCGCAATTGAACAAATGAAAGAACATCATTATGCTCAATTACAATATATCGTACAAGAATTTTGTAGATTTGCAAAATTTAAATTTACGGGAGAAGAATCTGTATTTGAACCTTTTGAGCTCGATTTGGATGAAATACCAGTAATAAAGCAATATATAAAAGGAGAAGAAGAAGAAACATTAAAAAGTTTGTATTGGTTTATTGAAATTAATTTTGAAGAAGTTCAAGGGATGTTTGATCCAGTTATAGAAAGAATTATAAACTTGATTAAAGGACAATTGGATCAAATTGAAAACGATTGCTGCGCTATGTTCCTAGTTGGAGGATTTAGTGAATCTAAATATTTACAAACTAGGATTAAAAAAGAGTTTTATGAGTTATTTCCAAGCATTTTGGTTCCAGCAATTCCTATTGCAGCAGTTTTAACAGGAGGTTAGTATATTTTTTTTTATATTTCTGATTAGAATTCTTTATATTAAATTATATACGTTCTTTTAATGATTAGCTGTCTTATACGGACTTAACGAAAGTACAGTGGTAACTCGTAAATTACGACAAACATATCAGTCACCGGACATGTCGCATGTCGATCATAGCAAATGACATTGATATAGATGTCGATCATTTGATCGATAAAATTTTATATGATTTTATGCCTTTTTTTTACTTCGTGATATGTAAATTGTGTTACATTTACTTCTCGCGAAAATTTTTATAAACTTTTAAAAGCGAACGGTTCAGCCAGTTTAAGAAGATCTTGTTGGAAAAATCA